TTTTTTTAATCGGGAAATATCACGAGCATCTCCATTAAAGCATATAAGTAATGGTTTCCTCTAGTCACAGTGTTATCTCATACTTTACTCTGTTAAATAACAATAATACAAGGAGAAATATGATATGAAATATTAGAAAGAAGATATTAGAAAGGAAAATCGTTAAGATGATATCATCATTACTCAGAAATAAACCAAAAGAATTAACTGAAAATCTATCATATTAAATAAGAGAGTTCAGTAAAGTGACTGGATTGATTAAATAGATAAATATTTATTACTATTTATTAAACTGGTAAATAATTATTACATAATTATTGAGAAAATACAATATGGAAAAGATATCTTTCATTAATATAGCCCAAATTTTAAAAACTTGCAAATAAACTCAAAAAAATGTGAAAAACCTGTATGAAAATATACAAATGACGTATTATTGAATTGTAAATGAAACCTATATCATTTTATTAAGCAATGTCACTGAAATCAATTTAAATCAATCAATAAATAATTACATAAGAAAAAAATAGAATTGCTGTAGAGTCTTAAAAACCTGAATAAATACAAATATATTTTGACCTTCCAGTTGGAATTATTCAGTGTGATCAACACGTGAATTTTTTTCCAAATTAATTTGACATTTAATATATTGTAAGAAAAAAAGTTCATAGATGTCAAGATCTGAATTTTTTTTTTGTTATTTACATGGTAAATAATTCTTTGAAACAGAAAATATTGTTTTGAATAAGAGTATTGAGTGGTTGGCCTCATTTTTTGTTATTTACATGGTAAATAATTCTTTGAAACAGAAAATATTGTTTTGAATAAGAGTATTGAGTGGTTGGCCTCATCACTTCTCATGATCCATTTAAATACCCTAAAGTAATACGGTATCGGCTTATAAATAATTTACCACTTGAAGGAAAATAGTCTAAAAATAGATACACAAGTATTGGGACATTATATACGGTAAGTATGGCATTTAGGATTAGGAAAGGAGGTAGAATTTCTCTAAAATGTATTGAAAAGATTGGTTTTAAGGCAACAGAAAGCCACTTGAAAAAGAGATTTATATTCTTTACACATATATACACACACACAAAAGGACATTTTTCCGTTCTCTAAATCTTCACGCCACATACATCCATATATGTGTACTCGAAGCTTTAAATATATAAAACGAGTAAACTAGAAGAAAACATTTATAAATTTTTAAGTAATCTTGAGTTAAAAATGCAGACACTCCAATAATGTAATTGACAACTTTGAAATAAAGAGTATAACTGTTCCACACTTCAAAAACACTACCTACAAAAAATTCTGTTTTGTATTATATTGTATAAAATCGCTTTTAAGCCAATAAAATATTTTGAACATGCCAATTAAGTTATATAAAATATATCAAAGGCAATTCATACAAACGAATCAATGCA